CTCCAGAGCAGCTGACAGGGTAGTCCCATGTGGCCCAGTGACACGAGGGTCATGTGGCATTACCAGTAACGAGCTGTGGCAGCAAAGCAAAGCGGGGATGGAGTCGACAGAAACCCACTGGGATGGCGCCAGCAAGGGGCCTTGAAAGTTGAGAAGGTTTCAGATAAGCAAAAAACAGGGGTACTGGCAACCAGGAGCCAAAGCATGAGCGAGGCTGTCCTCAAGAGCGAGGCCAAGAAGAGTTCCTTCTGCTGGGACAAAGGATCTAGGAGCTTGAGGCACTGGGAGCAGGCCACAGAGGGCAGGTGGGCATAGTGGGCATGCCTTTACGGGGCTCCCCTCTCCCACCAGGCATGGGCTGCAACGAGTGTACGCACCCCTCCTGCCAGCACTCGCTGAGCATGTTGGGTATCGGCCAGTGCGTGGAATGCGAGAGCGGCGTGCTGGTGCTGGACCCCACCTCGGGCCCCAAGTGGAAGGTGGCCTGCAACAAGTGCAGCGTGGTAGCGCACTGCTTCGAGAACGCCCACCGTGTGCGGGTGTCCGCCGACACCTGCAGTGTCTGTGAGGCCGCCTTGCTTGACGTGGACTTCAACAAGGCCAAGTCCCCACTCCCGGGCGACGAGACGCAGCACATGGGCTGTGTCTTCTGTGACCCCGTCTTCCAGGAGCTGGTGGAGCTGAAGCATGCGGCCTCCTGCCACCCCATGCACCGCGGCGGGCCAGGGAGAAGGCAGGGTCGAGGGCGGGGCCGGGCCAGGAGGCCCCCTGGGAAGCCCAACCCCAGACGGCCCAAGGACAAGATGTCAGCCCTGGCCGCCTACTTCGTATGATGGCCCTGTCCTCCCTCACCCAGGCTGCAGTGCTATGCAGACACCTCATGGCACTTCAGACTATTAAAATGCATTTTACCTTCTCTAGAGCTGGGGCCCCTTTGCTGGTGCAGCGACGTCAGAGGGTTACCGTGTCTCTGGGCACCTGTGGGGCCCTCTTTCCCTCTCCGAAACCCAATACATCTCCCTTCAGCCTGCACACATGTGCCCTGAGTGCTCCCTGCTATCCCTATACCCTGGCAGTACGGGCAGGGATGCCCCAACCCTGGAGCCCTGGGGAGTAGACCCAGTTTGCACTCACACCCCATCTCAACCCGTGCTGCTGACGGTAGCTGTGTGCACAAGCAGTGGCCCTGATGCCTTAAGGAAGGAGGCCTTGACAGCCATGGCTCCGGCAGGAGAGGAGTGTAGTGGAGCAGGCGGGGCTGGGAAACCCCCTCCCTGGATCTGGCTCATGAATCCCCTTGGTCTTCGCTTCAGCCCCCTGCTCAGGGCTACCCTCTTGATCCCACGCTTCTCCATCCCCTGCTCTCGTCTCTGAGAAGCCCTGTACGTGGTGCCCGTGTGCGTCTGGCAGCTTCCTGGGGCCTGTTGCAATTCCTATTCTCACAACAAGCCCTTACTGTCTTAGAGGCAGCTGGGTGCCCCATGGAACCCATTCACATACCAGGTTTAGAAAATACCCTGTAGGCCAGACTGCCCTGTGGTGCCAGGTGCTGGTGGCAGCTGCACTCTGACCTCAGTGCCTTCTTGTGCTTCCCTCCCCAACCACCCGAGGAGAGACACCTGTGCGGGGTCCACTGTGTGTTGGAAACTCCCTCCACACTCCACCCGTGCCTCATTGAGTGGTGACAGGAGCTCAGCAAAACAGCGTTCCAGACTGTTCAGTGGGACCTTTCTTTGAGGGGCAGGTCAAGAATGTTTCAGACTCAGACCCCGCCCCCAACTCAGTAGTAGATTCTCAGGCCACACCGGGACGTATATGAGAGCTCCTGTAAAGAAACCCAGAGCCCGCCCAGCATGCCCCACCTGGACCCCCTTCCTGGAGGCCCTCACAGGTTAACACGGGGGTTCCCTGGAACGCAGTTTGGAGAGCTACTCGAAGCTGAATGAAAATACGCAGAGACCACATAATGGGTCCTGGGATGTGTCTGACAGGTACAGGCTTCAGGAAGGAGGGGGTGCTCTCGGAGCTTCTGCCCCCTCCCACCCACTCTGGTCCGATTCTGGGGCCCTAGCAAGGCCACACCTGTTACGTCCCCAGTGCAGGGCTGTGACTGCTCTTCCACCCACAAGGCCCAGTGGACCTGGAGCCTTCTCTGCAGAAGGTTTTAGGACCTCCAGGACCCTTAGGTTACAGGGCTAATTCAGGCTTACAGGAGCGGAGACGGTTCTTAGGCCTTAAACCCAGACCACCCAGTCCGTCCTTACTATGCTTCTGCACTGCGATTTCAGCCAGAGGCAGGGCTAATCACAAAGTGTTCCTTTATTTTCCTCTGCAGTTGTCCCTTGTACATGACCCTCCAAGGCCCTTGGCGTCCGCAGCTTGATTCTGCACTCCGAGTCCATTCACCTTCTCCCATCCGGTAGCATCCAACCCCGCTGCTACTGCTGCCAACCTGGCCTTGAGAGCAATGAGGACAAGGAAGGCACAAGGCCCCTTTTAGGCCAGAACTGCCTTCAGATCAGCCACGCTCCATGGGACTGTACCTCTGCCCTGGAGGCTGGAGAGGTCAGTGGCTGCAGACTGGCTCAAGGAGCCCCTGGCCCTGCCCACCTAGCCAGGGGTGCAGCCTTGCCAGAGAAGCAGAGAAGCGTCTGTGGCTGGGTGGGTGATATTGAAAGATTCCTTTCACCAGGGTGGAAGCCAGGAGCTGAGGCGTGATGGAATGCGGACAGTGAGGCACTGACAGCGCCACAAGGCAGGAGTCATCTCCAGACACGTCCTTGGCCCATAGGGACAAGCTCCTGGTGGTGCCTCACTTTGCTGTCCTCTCTAAGCCGCAGATCTCAAATGGAATCAGTGCTCAAGAGTCTAATATGCCCCCTCTGAGGATGCCTGCGGGAATATCAGCTTTTACTGCACTTTACCGTGTGGGAGGGCCTGCCCCACGCACCACCTCACCTGTGCTGCGCTTCTCAAACTTCACCCCACAGCCATTCTGTTGTAGGTGATCTCAGGGGCAGTTTTGAGAAACAGTGGCCCAGGGTCTCACAACAGCCCTCTGAGATAGGTTGGTTGCTATTGTCCCCATTTTTTCTGATCAAGAAACTGAGGCTCAGGTGAGCTAAGGAATGTGCCCAGGGCCACCGTTTATAAGAAGTAGCCTCAAGCCTTGCTCATGATTACTGCCCTGACAGGGATCTAGGAAGGAGTGAGCAGGAGAGTGGGATGAGGCAGGACTCTCCGTCCCAGTCCTGCTGTCTCTGCCCAGACACCTCTTGCCTTGCAGATCCAACCCCACCCCAGATGGTTTCCTTTCCAATCACCCAGCTGCTAGTTCTCCAGGTTACTGGTCTCACTCCAGGTTGCTCCTGTTAGAGAAGCATCCCAGAGACATTCATTCCTGGCAAGGACACAGGCCTGTGGACCTGAAGGCCAGGTGGGCAGGGCCACAGAAGATCTGGGCGTCCCATCCTCCATTTAAAAAATTATACTTTACAACTGCATTAGTATAAAGATGAATATATTAATATATATTAAAACCTTTTTTTTTTTTACTTAAAGGTTTCTTTCTTCTGCCTTTAAAATATTTTGGCCAGGTGTGATGGTTCACACCAATAATTCCAGCACTTGGGGAGGCTGAGGCAGGAGAATCACTTGAACCCAAGAGTTCAAGACCAGCCTCGGCAACATAGTGAGACCCCATCTCTACAAAAATTTTTTAATCAGCTGGGCGTGGTGGTGCTTGCCTGTGGTCCCAGACACTAGGAAGGCTGAGGCAGGAGGGGAGGCTCGCTTGAGCCCAGGAGTTTGAGGCTGCAGTGAGCTATGATCATGCCACTGCACTCCAGTGTGGGCATCAGAGAAGGAGCTGGTCTCTAAAAAGAGAGAAAAAGAGTATTTCCATGAGCCTCTGTGTTGGCAGAAGAATGACCCTTCAGAGATGTTCATGTGCTATACCTGTGCCTGTGTTAGATTACATGGCAGACCAGGCATAGTGGCTCACACCTGTAATCCCAGCACTTTGGGAGGTCGAGGCAGGCAGATCATTTGAGGTCAGGAGTTTGAAACCAGCCTGACCAACATGGTGAAACCCTGTCTCTACTAAAAATACAAAAAATTTAGCCGGGTGTGGTGGCACACGCCTGTAGTCCCAGCTACTCAGGAGGCTGAGGCAGGAGAATTGCTTGAACCCAGGAGGCGGAGGTTGCAGTGAGCCGAGGTCATGCCACTGCAGTACAGCCTGGGTGACAGGGTGAGACTCTGTCTCCAAAAAAAATTACGGGGAAAAGGGGAATTAAGGTTGCTGATCAACTGATTTAAAGTAGAGAGATGATCCTGGATTATCTGGGTGGGCCCAGTGGCATCTGGAGGGTCTTTAGAAGTAGCAGAAGGAAGCAGAGGAGGGAACCAGAGGTGGCAGTGTGAGAAAGGCTCAACTGGCCATTGCTGGCTTCGAGGCTGGAGGAAGGGGCCCGAGCCAAAGTATGCGGGGAGCCCCTGGGAGCTGGAAAACGCAGGGGAACAGTTTCTCTCCTAGAATCCTCAGACAGGAACGCATTCTGCCGACTCATGGATCTTCACCCACTGGGACTAAGTGGACTTCTGACCTCCAGAATGGAAAGATAAAAGCCTTAACGTTTGTGGAAACAAACAACTCACAATAGCCCGGGGACTGTGCCCCCTTCCCTGACGGATGAGCCTGCCTAGGCAGTCTGGATTTGCATCCCTGCTGTCATGTACCAGCTGTTGACGGCACAAGTTGCTTCATTTCTGGGCGCTGTGACCTAGGGATTGCTTTCCCCATCCAGCCGCCCACCCAAAGCTGCAGAAGAGAAGCAAGAGGCCGGTGACTGGGGCGGCCCCGGAGCCCAGGTGGAGTCGCAGTTCGCCTACCACTAAAGGGCCGCAGTCACGGTCCGCGTAGCCGCCAGGGGGCAGCAGAGGTCCGGCCCCGCCAGCTTGGAGTCCCGATTGCGCCTGCGCGGCGCCCGCAGCGGCCGGGGACGGGAAGTGGGCGGGGCCGACCGGCAGCAGCTTGCTGGACGCGGAGCGGTGAGGAGACTGCTGAGGCCCGTGGAGACCTGGGGTGAGGCGGCCGGGGGAGCGGGATTAGAGGGCTGACGGGGCTGAGACGAGGGTCAGGCTAGCGCCCAAGGCGCACAGGGGTGAAATGGGACCGAGGAACCGGAGGGATGGAATCAGAGGGCTGGGGAGGCAAGGAGGCCGAGACGAGGCTCACGTGGGGGCCCCCAAACGGTGCGGGGGTGCAATGCGGGGGTCCGAGGAGCAAGAGGGGCCGCTGCGGACCTGAGGAATCCGAGGCTGGGAGTTGGGGGGCTGGCGAGCCAAGAGAGCAGAACTGGGGGGCCGGCGGGGGTGTGACCGAGCCGAGGGCCTGGTAGGGACCGAGGGCTATGAGACAGAATGGGGTGCTGAGGGGGGACGCGCCCCATTTTCCGAGATTTGGCCTCTCCCCACCCCCCAGGAGCCTCTAGGCCGGCACGTTGCCCCATATGCCCCCAGTCCCTCCACCTTCAGGGGCCCAGTCTCTGCCTGAGGGCCCCCTGCCCCGCGGCCTCCCGAGCGTCTGTGAAGCGAGCGTCAGCTGCACAAGTGCTTGGGCTGCAGCGGCTTCAGCCACAGGTCTGTGAGCCAGAGCCTCAGGCGCGGAGGCCGGGCACACTGCCGCTGGGTTCGGTCAGGCAAGCCCCTGAACCTGTCTGCAACAGGAAGAACTGGCTCCGACTGCAGGGATCTCAGCACAGGGCTTGACACACGGTGAGGTCCACTGCATGGTGGCGGGCTCCTTCGAAGCCTTCCACGCTGCGGGACAGAGTCACACATGTCGTGGTGGCATTCCCCGGGACAAGTTCCCTGGGCCCAGATGAGCTCTCACCACGGGGGATAGAAAGTGGGGCCGGCCAGCACTCTGAGGCCATCTCCAGTCTCTTCTGTTGTCAAATTTCGCTCTTTTCCTCCTGCACGCGAGGTGGAAGTACCAAAGGCACCTGGCATCCAGAGACCTTGATTGAGTTCGCTTTGCCCTTTCCACCTGTGTGAGACCTTAAATGGGTGCTTGCCCTTCTAGAACCTATTTCTTCGTCTGCAGTGTAGCCTGACAGTATGTACTTCTCAGCGTAGTTGTGAGAGGTAAACGAAATGAATGCCTTTCTGAAAGCCATGAACCTCTACACAAGTTCATTTGTGGAATTCCTTTGAGATACCGCCTGAAGGCTGGGCGCGGTGGCTTATACCTGTAATCCCAGCACTTTGGGAGGCGGAGGCAGGCGTATCACCTGAGGTCAAGTGTTCCAGACCAGTGTGGCAAAACCCCATCTCTACTAAAAATACAAAAATTAGCCACGCGTGGTGGCAGGTGCCTGTAATCCTAGCTACTCAGGAGGCTGAGGCAGGAGAATTACTTGAACCCGGGAGGCGGAGGTTGCGGTGAGCCAAGATCCCACCATTGCACTCCAGCCTGGGCAATAAGAGCGAAACTCCCTCTCAAAAAAAAAAGAAAAAAAAAGGATACCACCTGAAGCCAACCGAGTCTTTTAAGACCCGGCACTGCTGCCCACTGCACCCTTCAGAGTGATGTAGCTTCCTCAGCCCATGCCACCCACCAGTCACTCTTCCCTCTGCCATCACACTTATACCACCTGCTGTACACAAAGGGCCATTGTGGGCTTTCTGACCGCAGGAAGCTTACAGTCTATCAAGAAAGTCAGGCCTGTAAAAAGTGGTCATTGCACAACAGTGTGACTGTGCTTAATGCCATGGAACTGTACACTTACAAGTGGTTAAAAGGATACATGGTATGTATATTTTACAACAAAAAAATTTATATATGTAGGAAAACATCTAGAAGGATTTACATCTAACTAGTATCAGTAGTTATGAATAAAGGAGTAAGAATCTGCTTTGGTAGAAAGAGAAAGTTGGCCAGGCGTGGTGGGTCATACCTGTAATCACAGCATTTTTGGAGGCTGAGGTGGGCAGATCACCTGAGGTCAGGAGTTCGAGACTAGCCTGGCCAACATGGTGAAACCCCATCTCTACTAAAAATACAAAAATAAATTAGCCGGGCGTGGTTGCAGGTGCCTGTAATCCCAGCTACTAGGGAGGCTGAGGCAGGAGAATCGCTTCAACCTGGGAGGCGGAGCTTGCAGTGAGTGGAGATTGTGCCACTGCACTCCAGCCTGGGCGGCAGAGCAAGACTGTCTCCAAAAAAAAAAAAAAAAAAAAAAAAAAAAAACAGTTAACAGTGAATATGATAGTTTTGTTACACCATAGTGATGCAGTTTCCTTTTCTAAGGATTACTGGTTGTTGTTTTTTTTTCATTACCCCGGTTCTGCAGTTAAGCAAGACTTAAGTATTTTTTCTGTGTTCCCTAAAAAACTGGTTGTTAAACCCTGCATTCGTTAAGCTTAGGAGTCAAAACTAATGCACTAGAGGAAAATAAATATTTTAAATTTCATAAAAAGAAAACTTTTTACAAGTCAGATGTGAGCAAAAGTGCCATAGAGACATGAGAGAGAGCATGCTGGATCCAAAGGTGTGGAGATTTCAGCAAAGCCTGGAAGGATCCGAGAGATCTCAGGAGGCAAAACGGAAGGAGGACACCACAAAACAAGGAGGGGAGGGGCTGCCCTAGGGTCAGGGGGACACAGAAATGGAAGAAGGAGCCATGAGAGAGCCAAAGCCCAGAGTTGGTGGCCAATGAGGGACAGGTCAGGGAAAGAAGGAGTCAGAATGACTTCCCGGGTGTCTTCACAGTTAGGGCCCAGGTTCTCCGGCATGAACCCCACCCTGGGACTTTGGGCAAGTTCCTTAGCTCTTCTGCTACAGCCTGCCCTGTGAAGTGGGGATAACCACAAGAGGTTGTTGGGAGGCTAAAAACCATCCCAGGAAGAGTGCTCGGAGCAGGGGTGGATGGCAGCTGGCAGCACCGTCAGCCCCACCCCTGCAGCTGCCGCTCGATGAGTTTGCTTTGCCATTTCCCACCTGTGTGAGACCTTCAATAGGTTCTTGGAGGGTGAGCACCCATTTGGTGTGCAGAGGGGCCCTGATCCAGGAGGAACAAGCTGCCAGTTGCATTTGGCCAGACTGGTCCAGGCAGGCAGCGCTGGGAGGCAGGAATCCATTGTCCCTCCCATGCCCACCCCAGGCTCTTGGTGACTTGCACAGGCTCATGCACACATCCCTCTCACTCCGAATCTTTCACTGGTGTGCCCTGGTCAGGAAAGCCTGGCACCAGGCCCTGCCACCTCTGGTGCTCTCCCAGCCCTGACTCCTCCCTGCGGCTTGCCACCGGCCTCCACGCCATTCCTGATGCTGTCTCCAGTTGATCCCTCAAAGAACCACGGCACTGTCCCCTACCCCGCCTGGCACTCCCAGGGCTGCCTCTGGTTTCCCTTGGGTGAGGAATTTCTCCTTCCTGCCGGATGTCCCATGGTGTACCTCAGATTCAGGAGCTTATGGGGAAAAGGAAGGAAATGATTCCTGTCCCTTTCGACTTCTGGGCTCCAGGGAGGGAAAGCTGTGTCCTGGTTTCTCTCCTCACCCCTTGTCTTAGGTTGGTGATGCAGAAACAAGGGCGCTTGGTCCCCAGCAAGCAAGATGGCCCTGGGCACCCTGCCTTTCTAACAAGGGCAGGCAATTGGCACAGGCCCTGAGAGTAAGCCAGCCCGTCCCCTCTACAGATGCAGACAGAGCTTCGCACAAGGCATCATCACATCCCCTGAGACCTCACTTAGCACGCGTGGCACAGGCACCATTGAGGCCTGTGCGGGTAGCGGGTACAAGGCACAGGGAGAGCAGCAGGTGGCCACAGTGAATCAGGGTCTGCAGTGCAGACAGGAAGGGCCCCCCTCCCTGAGGGAACAGACTGATTGTGGGGAGGAGCTTCCGGCACAGGAAAGAGTACCCCAAGGTCAGGAGGCAAGGAGGCATCTGCATCCCAAAATGTCCAGCAGACGTCACCAGCAAGTGGGGTGAAAGTGAAGGGTCTTGAATTCTGCCGTTGACCGTGGGGCTTTACACTGTGGGCAGGGGTTTCTCCAGGGGGGCCCTCTGTGTGCTGTAGCAGGAAGCATGCTGTCCTCTCACTTGGATCCTAATCATAAATTCACATGAGCACATTTTGTGGTGAGATGACAGAGCGTCCAGATCACTTGGAATTGCAAGGGAGTGGGCGGAGGCCCCAGGCACTGGCAGTTACTGGGGGCAGCTCTGCATTGTTCACATTTCTCTCCCAGAAGCTCCAGGGGGCCAGGGCAGTGGCAGGCAGAAGAGGGGCCCTTGGCCGCTTTCACTGCTTGAGGGCAGCCAAGCTTGCTGGGAAATTCACGCCATCTTCAAATGCCTTGCAGCTCTGCTGGGGCATGGCTGGCAGGCCTTGCCGCCTCCTCATTGACCCACTAGGGCTCCCAGCCTCTGCTTATTTCTCCAGCTCACAAAGTCTTCCCTTTGTGGTTTGAATGTCAGTGTCCCTCCTCCTCTCAGAGTGATTTTTCCTTATTTGTTTTGTGTTCTTTTTTTTTTCTTTTTTGGTAGAGGTGGGGGGTGGGGGGTGGCAGTCTCACTATGTTGCCCAGGCTGGTCTTGAACTCCTGGCCTCAAGCACTCCTGCCTCACCCAAAGCGCTGAGATGCAGACCTGAGCCACAGCGCCTCGCCAATTGTTTTATGTTCTTTATCTTTTTACCTGCTTGCCTTTTGTAACCTGGGCTGCATTAAATTTACTCCTTGTGAATAAATGTGAACCCTAACAATGAATTTAGTCTATCCCCAGAACCTTCAGTAGCAAGCATCCCTATTTCTACATTATTTGTATGTGTCTACTTAAATTACCTTTCAATTCCTGCCTCTAAAAGAAGAGAGGGGTTTTGTGTTTTGTTAATTTACCACCCTTCACCCCTTGCATTCCAAATCCTTCATTGATCAGACTTGATGCTGGGATCTTTCGCTCTGCCCGCCCCATTTTCTTTTGTGTTTTTTATCTTTAGGCTTCCAGAAGGCTTGTTTCAAGTTAGCAATTCCTGATAAGGACAGCCCTTTTGTGGGCTGTGAGCTCCCTGCATCTCTTACTTCCCACTCTCTGCATCCTGCACCTCAGGCCCCTGTCGCAGCCGTCCTTTTAGCAAAGTTTGTAGGCAGAGTCTGTGGCTATTCTAAGACTGATGATTCTAGAAGATTCTCCTTGCCTCCTTCATTCAGTTTTCAGAACATGGAAGTCCTCATGGAGGTGATGGGCTGTGAAACCGTTCCCCAAATTCTCCACCCTAGAATTTGGGGTGTTCCTCAGTCTCATGTCCATTTGTCACCATAGAAGAACGCAGTTTTTCTCCCCAGCTTAGTAACTGTGTAGGATTTCTTTTTTACTTTTTTCTGTATTCAGTCTCATCCACTACTGCGTAGGACTCGCTGAAGAAAGTTTTTTCCCAGCCTGCCTGTTAGACAAAGCCCAAAGTGGAGTCCCCACTGTGGGAGGGTTTGGAGGGGTCAGGCACCCGAGGGGAAGGGGGCAGGAGAGAGAAGGGTCTATGCTGAGCGGGTGCTGGCAGGGAGGCCCAGGTGTGGGACCTGGAGGTGAATCCCCGGGACGATGCAAAGAACATGGAGGGGGGGTGCTCGAGAACTGTTTGGGTATAGGCCAGGCAGGCATGCTGGGGAGGCAACTGTGGAGATTCTGAGTTGGGAGAGAAGAAGAGCCAGAGCCAGCCTGCAAGGAGGCTCTGAGGCACCATATGCCTCTTTCCGGTGAGAGAGAAGCAGGTGAGGGAGTGAAGGCACAGGCTTTGGGATCCCTCTTCAGCCCTGTCTTCCTTCCTGACACCTCAAGCAAGGGACTACCCCTCTCCAAACCTTGAGGTTCTCATCTGTGAAATGGGGGCTTGTCCTGGCTCTTGGGGTGTTAGGGGCAACTCACAGGACTGGTCAGCTCTGGGCATTCCTAAGGACTTAGAGAGGAAGAGCCCACATGCCCACAGTGGGGTCAGCGCCTGGAACTGTCCACAGTGCCCCTGTTCCAGCCAGGGCTTAGCAGGCCTGAGCCATTCTAGGCTCACAATTCCCTCCTCCTATTAGAGAGCATTGAATAGGCTCGATGGTGTCCCAGAGCACCTCCTGTCTGTCCCAGGTTAACCCTCTGCTTCTCTTGGGTGGCCCCAGCAGCCTCTGGGGATCCCTTCCTGCTCCCACTCTGGCCTGTCTCCAAAATAGCCCTGGGCCGGCCTCCTGCATCTTGGCTCTTGTCTTTCCTCCCCTGAACGCTGCTCGAGCCCCAGCAGGTGTCCCTCCTACCATCTGGTCACCACATCCAGGCTCACAGACCTGGTGGCTTCACTCCCTCACCTCAGAGCCCTGCTGGCTTCTCGGGACCCGCGATCAGGTTGAACCCCCTCACCTGCCTCAGTGTCTGGCCTCAGCATCCCTGTGCTGCTCGTCTCTGGCCATGCTGGCCACCTTCTGCCAGGAGCAGTCTTCCTCCTCTTGTCACTTCTCCTTGACAACGTCCACCCAGCTGCTGCTCCTGGCACCATCTCCTGAGACCGGATCTCTGGATGCCCACAAGTCCCCATCTGGATTCATGTCAGGACAGTGGCCAGGGTTGTCCCACCACTTACTAGTGGCTCTGAACCGTGAGGCCATGTACCTGCTACGTGGTGCTTGCAGTTGGGCACCTTCATTGCTGGTGCCGTGGCCCCTTGATTCTGCTGACTCTGACATTTCTCCCCAGGGTGAAGCCTGGAGACCCTCTTGCCCTGGCCCAGCTGCAGGCCCCCGGGATGCTCTGGGCATGTCCTCTGGAGCCCCACAGAAGAGCAGCCAGATGGCCAGTGGAGCTGAGGAGACCCCAGGCTTCCTGGACATGCTCCTTCAAGACTTCCCAGCCCCACTGAACCCAGAGGACCCTCTGCCATGGAAGGCCCCGGGAATGATGCTCAGCCAGGAGGAGGTGGAGGGCGAGCTGGCTGAGTTGGCCATGGGCTTTCTGGGCAGCAGGTAAGCCTGTGCAACCCCAAAGGGGACAGGGAGCGAGGGCGCGGCGCCAGGGCCTACCAGGGATGTGGTGGCTGTTCCCCCACATGTCCAGCCCCACATGGGGATCCGCAGCCCCAGATCCCTATGGCAGCACCGTGTGGACTTCCTGTGGCTGCTGTGGCAAAGCACCACACACTGGGCACTCAAAGCAGCCGAAGCTCATTCTTCACAGGGCCGGAGGCCAGAGTCCAAGATCAAGGTGGTGGCTGTGCCATGCTCTCTCAAAGGCTGTAGGGAAGAGTCTGCTCCAGGCCTTTCTGTTAGTGCCTGGCCTTGACTTCCTGGAGGTCCTTGGCTTGTAGACTCATTCCTCCTAGCTGACCTTCTTGCATGCAGCATCTCCCTGTGTGCCTTCACACCTCCCCACTCCACCTGCTGTGTCTGTGGCTCCTCCTCTTGTAAGGACATGGGGATTTTGGACCAGGGGCTGCTCTCTTACAGTGTGACCTCATCTGTATTTCTTTTCGTGGAGAATGGGGTCTCGCTATATTGCCCAGGCTGGTCTCGAACTTCTGGACTCCATGAATTCTCATGTTTTTGCCTCCCTAAATGCTGGGATTACAGGCATGAGAGTGCTGTGCCCAGCCAATGTGACCTCATATGGACATAACTAATTACATTTGCAAAGACTTTAACTCCAAATAAGATCATATTCTGAGCCACAAGGGCTGGGACTTCAACATACCTTTTTGGGGAACAATTTAATGCATAACAGGTGATAAGCAGTAAGTCCTGTTTCTGATGCATGTGATGGATGAGGAGGCAGAGGTGGGTAGATTAAGAGGCTAGTCTGAGGCCTTACAGTCAAGGAGTGGCAGGCCCACATGGCACCCCGGCCACCATGATCTGAGAGGTAGTTGGCGCTGTACCCCTTCCACAGGTGAGGAAGCCAAGGCACAGAGAGGTAGCACAACCAGCTTAGCAGATTTCGGGGAAGATAGAGAGTTATGTGTCCACCAGCAGACAGTGTAGCTGTCTCCTAGGCTGACCTCAGAGGTCCCTTCCTTGGAAGACCCTTGCCCTCCCCTTCCATTTATTCATTCATTCTGGAAGTATTTGTCCCAGGAAAGATAGTAAAGGACAAGGTCTCTTCTCGAACCCTCTGTGCTCAGATGGGGTCTTGGAGTCAGGCTGTCTGTCTGGCCCAGGGGACAGCTCATGGAGGTGAGCAGGCTGGTGGGCCACATGCTGTTTCTGTGAACCTAGTCCCTTGCTGAGGGGATGTGCCCATGGTCCCCAATCCCAGCATCACCCAGATCACCTGAAATATCACCTGAAGCCATGACAGGCCCTCAGCTATAGCTCCCTCTGACAGAGCCTCTGTCCTCGGTGCTGCCTCAGTATCCCCCAAGTGTGCACTTCCTTTGCCCCTTGCAGCAAATCAACTCTGTTCCTGACACTGACCAAGGGCCTATTTTCCTTGACCCCAGGCCCCAGCAGTCAGTGACTTGTGCTCTCCCTGTGCGGCATGGGTGCAAACGTTGCTAAGTGTCAGCCACATGCAAGAGCCATGCCACCCAGCATTCCCCACAGCCGCCTAGAGCTCAGGAGGAAAGGCCCAGTGGCCACGCTCCACGAGGTCGTGGCATGCGCAAAGGGTGTTATTGGCTTGTTTTGAGGAAATATTTTAGAGATGCGGCACAAAGTGAATCGGCCCCCAGTGGTGGAGCAGAGTGGGCCCAGCGGGGGTGCCGCGCATGGGAGGTGAGGGAAGGCCCCACGTTCTGCCTTCTTGAGAGGAGCAGGTGGCACTCTACAGGGAGCAGGGGAGTCCAGACCAGGGAGTTCTGCAGCCACTGGGTCTTCGTGGAGGTGGCATGGGGCCATCGCTGCCCTGAGGCGAAAAGCCAGGCCTGGGACAGAAGAGTTGATGCACCTTGGCCCAAGCGTGAGGTGACCAGGCAGAGCCAAGTGGTGCCAGCCCCAAACTGGGAATCAGGTGGAAAAGCCGTCCTGGGGAATGACAGAGCCCAGGGGTTTGCTGGGCCTGCGTGGGGCACAGGTGCTGAAGACGGACAGGCCACAGCACCGGGGTGACACATCAGCCTTCAGTTCCTGGGCAGGGGGAGAAGGGCGCGGAGCAGGGCCCCAGGGAAGGATCCAAGGTGGGAGGGCCTGGAGGGCTGAGGAGTGAGTAGGCAGTGCAGGTGACCTGCCCAGGAGGGCCCTGAACCAAAGTTGGGGTCAGTGCTGGGGACACAGGGGAGGGCAGTGGGTTTTGGTTTTGATGCGGGAGCAGCCGGACTTGTTGAGCAGCTGCTGTGTGAGCCACCTAGTGATGGGTGTGACCAGGAGGGGCGAAGAGCTCCTGAGCCTCCTCAGCCCCCGGGAACCCACCTTACATGGTGGACTAAAATGGAGTATTTGAAGGTGTTATTTGTTCCAGCAGTCGTATTGGATTTATTTTTTAAGTTAGTTTTGTTCTTTTCTAGCACGTTCTTTCACACGCAGGTGTGTATGTGCATATGTGTAGTCAGCACTTGGGGTCTGAGTCTCACATGTTGTCTACACTAAGTCCGGCTGTCCACACACACGCACTCACATGTGCTCATACATAGTCACGAGTTCCACCTCCCAGCTCTGCTTCTTGTGTCCCAGCCTGAGGATGGGCTCTTGGGCATGAAGGACTTTGAGCATCTTGGTCCCTGAGCTCTTTCACAGATTGCAAAAGGCATCCTTCTGGAGGCTATCCAGGAGTCACAACACCCGGTCTGCAGGGAGCTGTTTATGCCTTGTCTCCCCTCTTGTTTGTAGCCTCCTGTCACATACTTGAGTCCCTGAGCAGTGCATACCATACACTAATGATTTGAGTGTGGTTTTCATCTCTGCCACTAGATTATAAGCCCCTTGTAACAACCCCTGCCCCAAAGTCGGTGAGACAAGTGTTTCTCAGGCACCTGGGCCTTGCACACAACTTGGCTTGTCCCTGGAGCATCTTCTTGCCTTGTGCAGGAGCCTGCTCTGCAGGGACCAGAATCAGGGTGGATCTGCATGGTGCAGTGACTCAGGGCTGAGGGCCTCTAGGGCGTGTCCCAGGCCAGACCCTGGGATGAGGCAGGAGCTGTGTCCAGGAAGGGGACGATGGTGGCCCTTGGCCAGGCATTGTCTGGGTCCCCACAGCCGGAAGCTGCCTCCCTGCCCCCAGCAGCAGTGGCGGGTGGGCAGGAAGCTGAGGCCTGGCCTCACCGGGACCAAGGGGAACAGGCGTCCCGCCTCTCTGCTGTGCAAAAGGAAAACCCAGCAGTTGGCAGGAAACCCCCAAATGGCAGAGGAACTCATTTCTCATGTCTTGGCTGGTTGTTTTTCAAAGGCAGTTCCAGAGGCTTCTCCCGTGAGTCACCCTTTCATTTTAAAAAATCAGGAATCCGCTGAGCATGGTGGCTTAACGCCTGTAATCCCAGCTACTCGGGAGGCTGAGGCAGGAGAATCACTTTCTGAACCCGAGAGGCAGAGGTTGTGGTGAGCCAAGATCACGCCATTGCACTCCAGCCTAGGCAACAAGAGCGAAACTCTGTCTCAAAAAAAAAAAAATCAGGAATCCATCCCGGTCGATTCCTCAGACCATCAGTAGATGCCTGGGGTGCGCAGCGCCCATAAGACCTGCCACCAGCCTGTGCCATTGGAAGGTCCTCGCCTTCCAGTGAAAGCCGAGAGTGTCAGCCCAGTGCAGAATTACCTTGTCACCCCAGGCATGCCCCCGGCCCCCACTCTCAGGGACAGGCACACCGGGGTGAATGTGTGTCATCCAGCTTCCAGGGCCCCCACTGGGTGGGAAGGCAGATTCCAGGGGTCAAAATGCATGCTAGAGGCCATAGGGCCACTGAGGGAGTGACCCCTTCTGCCCGGAAGAGGCAGGGATGGCTTAGAATTTTAGACACTTCTCCCCACAGCCCTCCTCAGCCACAGCTGGCTTCAGTGTCCCTACCTCCAAATTTCTTCCCCTGATCTGCCCCATGGCTGTCTTTTGCCCTGCCTACCTGCTGAAAGACGCTAACCCAAGGTTAACATTTCCTCCCGTCGGTTTGCTTTCAGCTTGCTGCGACCTCCCTTTCTACCCACTACACCTCCTCGACTGCTCAGCTCTGTTCTGTGACATTGAAAGCAGTGACCCAGTCTCACTTCTTAAAACGTTTCCTTCGTGGCACCCAGAAGGCCACCCTTGGGGTCATCCCCACTTTGCTAACCATGCTCTGGCCCTGTTGGACTCAGCCCCCTATCCTCATTCATTCTGAAGCTCCATCTCCTGCCTAGACCATGTTCTTGCAGGCCCTCAGGCCTCTTGACCGCTGTGGAAACAGAGCCCATTGCCCATCCCCTGCCTGATCCTGTTCCATCCCCATCAGGGTAATTAACTGCACCACGAGCCTCCTAGTTGCTCAGAACAGAAACTTCAACACTGTCCCTGCCCCTCCATCTATACTGCCCGACTCTGTCCACTCCTGTTTGTCTCCACGGCCCTGCCCAGCCCAGGTCTTAGACTCTCTCCTCTAGACAGTCATCCCCTCCCTGCCAGCCCACCCTCCACACCAGGGTCAGAGAGGCATAAAAGCCTCATCTGATCATGCCATGTCCCTCTTCAAACAGACCAAAGGCGGCCAGGCGCGGTGGCTCATGCCATTATCCTAGGACTTTGGGAGGCTGAGATGGGAGGATCACTTGAGGGCAGGAGTTCAAGACCAGCCTGGACAACATAGCGAAACCCCACCTGTACAAAATTTTACAGATTAGCTGGACATGGTGATGTCTGTAGCCCTAACTACTCTGGAGTCTGAGGTGAGAGGATCTCTTGAGCCCAGGGGTTTGAGGCTGCAGCGAGCCATGATTGCACAACTGCGCTCCAGCCTGGGAGACAGAGCAAGACCCTGTCTCTAAAAATAAATAAATAAAACCCAGACCAATGGCAGTGCTTCCATGTTAGCATAAAGCTTGGCCTGCCCTGTTCCCACAGCCCCTCACCCCGGCAGCCCCTATGGCCCCGTCCGCTCAGGGACCTCATGGACCACGCACAGCCACTTCCTCTGCTGACAGCCCCTCACCCTGGCAGCCCCTATGGCCCCGTCTGTTCAGGGACATCATGGACCACGCACAGCCACTTGCTCTGCTGAGTGTGCCCGTTTGTCCCACAGCCCAGGATCAGTTTCCTGGAGCTGCTGTACAGATGACCACAGACCCAGCAGCTTAAACAACAGAAGTGTGCCTCGTGGTGCTGGAGGCTGTTGTCTGAGATCAGGATGTTGACAGAACTGGCTCCTTCTGGTGGTTTGTGGGCAACCCTTGGCATTACCTGGCTTGTAGGCTCATCCCCCAGGTCTCTGCCTCATGTTCCCATGGCATTCTCCCTGTATGTGTGTCTGTGTCCAAATTCCTCCCTCAACTCAGAGCGTCTCGTTCTGTCGCCCAGGCTGGAGTGCAGTGGCACAATCTTGGCTCACTGCAACCTCCACCTCCTGGGTTCCAGCGATTCTTCTGCCTCAGCCTCCTGAGTAGCTGGAACTACAGGCACGCGCCACCACACCCAGCTAATTTTTGTATTTTTAGTAGAGATGAGGTTTTACCATATTGGCCAGGCTGGTCTCGAACTCCTGACCTCATGATCTACCCACCTTGGTCTCCCAAAGTACTGGGATTACAGACGAGAGCCACTGCACCCAGCCCAAATTGCCCTTTTTTATAGAGACATCAGTCATTGGAGTAGGGGCCCAGCCTGCTGCAGCATGACCTCAACTAATTCCATCTGTAATGACCCTGTTTCCAAATTAGCTTCATTCTGAGGTACTGGGGGTTAGGGCCTCTGTATGAATTTGGTGGGGGACATAGTTCAACCCAGAACACTCCCTACCCTCCACGGTCCCCAACTGGCATGGGTGATTCCTCTGCCCTCCTGTGACCAGGAGCTGTCATCAGCATGGATGTCAGGCAGTTTGCTTGACCATCAACAGCCCCCTCCCCGCCAGCCCCAGGCCCAAGTTTGGTCCAGCTCCCCACCAGATGGTTGCGCGTCTGCCTCTGCCGTCGTGTGACCTTCCTGTCCCAGCTCCCCAAGGACGGGGGCTGCCCTGCTGGCCGTCCTGACCCCTCAGCATGTGGGCTGACAATTGGGGAAGGGGTGCTAGGTGTAGTCTCCTGCTGGGTGCTGCCCCTCACTTCCCCCTCCTCATCCCTAGGAAGGCCCCGCCACCACTTGCCGCTGCTCTGACTCATGAAGCAGTTTCACAGCTTCTACAGACAGACCTTTCCGAATTCAGGAAGTTGCCCAGGGAGGAGGAAGAAGAGGAGGAGGAGGATGACGACGAGGAGGAAAAGGCCCCTGTGACCTGTGAGTTCTCTTTCTTCTGAGGCGGCCCCAGGGCTGCTTAGCAGGCGACAGACAAAGGGTGAGGGCATTGTGGGGAGCCCATTGATTGGGGTCCCTAAGGGTGCTGGGGCCCTTGCTGACAACAGCAGCAGAATCAAGGAGCAGAGAAGGCTTGGGGCCCCAGCGAGGTGGAGGGTGGTGGTCACAGCCCTCCATAGGACACGTGGTTCCCAGTCAACCCACGAGGCAGGGGTGGGTGGTGCAGACACCCTCCTGTGTCTTGTCTAACTGAAGTTCCAGAACAGCCCAGGAAATTAAAGATGCTTGTCCCATTTCACAGAGGATCTCACAGGCGATCTCTGGTCACGCAGCCAGGTTCAAGTGCCCTCAGTGTTGTAACTCGGTTAACATGCGCCCAGGCAGGCGAAGTCAGGGTCAGCCAGGTGGCATGCCAGCAGGTCTCGGGGGACAGCAGCATGGTCCCCTCAACACTCAGGCCCCCTGCCTCAGCTGCCCCAAGTCAGGATTCTGTTGGATGGAGAAGCTCTACGGTGTCCGTGAGCCCCATGGTTAGATGCTGGTGGAAACTTGTCTGTCAGCCTGCTCCTGGGACAGCCATAAGCACGGTGTGGCCAGGGGAACCCAGAAATGGAGAGGGCTGCAGAGCCATTTCACAGAGGATCTAATCATTAAAAAGCAGGGCTTTTATTTCATGTGACTTTCTTTCATTCTAGTAATTTCTTTTTATTATATTTCGCCAAAGTGTTGGTTGATGTTGGACCAGAAATACAGGCAGTGAGAATCGCAGGCTGCAGCAGGGGTGCCACAAGGGGGTAGCAACGCCCCACCCAGCTGAAAACTTGTCCCTGGACAGGCCAGCAGGCAGCAGAGTCGCAGTGGATTTTCCCTTCCTTGCCATTTCCTGTCTGCCATTTCCTTTCCATTCCTTTGCCATTTCCTTTCCTTTCCCTGTTGTTCTAAATTCTGCATTACTAGTGCATGCCTGCATCCAGGGAAAAGCAAGGAACAAGGTGGGAGAAGAGAGAGAAGGCGAATACCCGAGGCGGCCAGCATCAGTCGGTGCCGTGCCGGCGCTCTCCTCCTCGCTGTCGTCGCCTGCCTCCGCCCTGGCTCCCTGCCCGCATTCCCTGGGAGCGCAGCCTTGCCTTAGCCTGGGAGACAGCTGTCCACAGTGACAGGCAGCCATTGTTCTCGGCCGAGCCAGCGGGCCTCCGGCCGGTGGCAGCTGCTCCTCCTCGGCTTTGCGGCCCCACCAAGGGGGCACCG